TTTGCATAGCTTAGTTGATGATTGCAGTCCAAGATTAGACAAAGAACATACACAGATGCACACATAAACAAACACACAAACACACACCCCCCCCCCCCCCCCCCCCACACACACACACATACACCCTAACAAATCTCAATATGGGATGGGAAGATACCAAATAACTAAGAGAATTTTTTGGCCTTTCTGTAATTAGTAGTATCATTTGTCAGTCTAGCACTTCAGGCATTTTGCTATCAGCAAATTTGAGTGACAGGAGCTAGGAAGTTAGTTCTATATCACAACTATTGCTCAGAGAAAAGAAACATTACTATTTTTATATAAGAAAAGAAAAACTATGCCAAAACTGGTTTGGCTCAATGGATAGAGCGTCGGCCTGCTGACTGAAGGGTCCTGGGTTCAATTCCCGTCAAGGGCAAGAGCATGTTCGATTTGGGTCAAGGGCACATCCCCAATGGGGGGTGTGCAAGAGGCAGCTGATCGATGACTCTCTCTCACCGATGTTTCTAACTCTCTATCCCTCTCTCTTCCTCTCTATAAGAAATCGATAAAATATATATTTTTTTAAAAAAGAAAAGAAAAACTAGGTTCCTAGGAAGATTATATCTACATTAGAAAAGGCATAGCTATTATAATGTAGGATATATTTTATTAACTTGAAATTCTAAATTGTTTTGCAAAGAAAAAAGTTGTTCCCATAAAATGGAGTATTTTTGTGGCATCAAACTTAAGAGGAATTGGATGTGGCATCTTTTAACTACTATTTATGGCACTCATGATGCTTTATATCAGCAATTTTCCACCAGTGTGTCAAGGTACACTGGTGTGCTGCAAGAATTTTTAAAACATGCAATACCTATTTTTCGATTGTCAAATAAAAAATGACAACAGCCAACACAACAGTAGCTGGCCAGTGTGAATTAATCAAAATTATGCCATTTTTTTCAGTTTGGCAAAAAATTACTTTTTGGTGTGCCACAAAACTTTAGAAATTAGTTTATGTGTGCCATAGATGAAAAGGGTTGAAAATCTCTGCTTTATATCATGATAAGAGAAGTTTCCAGTACTTGCAAATACATTTTTATAATTTATAACTCATAGAAGTTTGAAATTGAGTAACGTATGTGGCATAACTAGACTCTCTAAGACACTGAAGCCAGTCTACTGTCTTGTGTTAGAGGCCAAGAGGTCAGTAGCTTTATTAATCATTATGACACCTTCAGCTTCTGTGCCTTTTTGTAATAAAATATATTTATCTGTGTAGGTTAAGTGCATGCTATTTTTTAAGGTAAGAGGACTAAAACATATAAATCTTTGACCTATAAAATTATTTTATATTAATATATATTTGATGGTATTTTGTGTTATAGTCTGTATCTTATTTCTCAAAAATGGACAAAGCAGGTTTTTATCAATGATTATCTAAATTAAGGTAATAAAATTTACCACATTTTTCAAGAATAAGGCTTGAGAACTTAGAGATTATTTGACAAATTTTGAGAATCAGAAGTGAGTATGTTTATTGTGCTGACATTATTTTCTCAACATTTAATGTTCCATTAGTAATTATAAAGTTAAAACTTTACTGATTTTATTCTTGCTTTCAAGACTGAATGTATCTTTTCAATAATGCCTCAGAGTTGGTGGCCAATAATTGGCTCAGATTTGGTGGCTGCAGTTTAGTTCTATAAATAAAATTATTATGTCTTAGAAGCATCAGATTATAAATTTTGTTTATGTTCTTGGAAATCCACTTCAGACTATAAAAGTGCAAAAGTTAATTGCATACACACACGGGTGCATATGCAGACATTTATTAAGTACATAAAGCCAAACCTGTTATATAAGCATCTCAGAACAAAAAGGGAATCTAAAACCAGAAATAGAGATGATTATACTTTAAAAATTTTTAAATATGGGTAAAATAATAAATACTATAAATCACCAATATTGATACAAGAAGAGTCAAATTACAATGACAGAAATTTTTAAAGTTGTTCAAGACTTTTGGGCCTAGCTGTTCTCCCAAAAATTTATTCCAACCTTCCAGGGATATATATTATAATTGCCAAGAGGTCTAAATTATTGCAGAGCACCATAAAAGAAAGAAATTTCTTAATTCATTTTAAGAAGTTAGCATATTCCTGATCTGAAAACCTGATAAATATAGGATGAAAATAGAAAGCTACAAACCAGTCTACTATTAGTAAAGCTGCTAAAATTATAAATAAATCTTAGAATATTAAATGCAGTAGCATAGCAAAATACCATACCCAGATTGCCAACAATTACTCTTGAGTCACACAGTTCACATACTAAACATAATCCCATTAGTAATGCCTCTCATTACAGTAGTGATTTTTAAGGAAGGGCAGTAAATAGAGGGAGGAAATGGGTAGTTTGGAAAATGAAATGTACTCACTTTGTCAGTCCCCAGGAGGAGCCATAGCCCAAGGGGACCTAGGTATTAAAGATTTAAAAGTGATTCTATTTTCCTCTCTGTTCTTTTCTGAATTTCCTGAATGCTTTGAAGTGTGCATACTTCATTCATTTATAATTCTAAAAAACTAATTAGAAATACTCAGAAGAAAAACAAAAAAGCAAACAAACAAAAATCAACAGCCACACCATCACCAAAAAAACGTGAGTGTTCTTGTGTGGTGATGGGAGTAGTAGAGTCTTTAAAATATGAAACCAACCAAGTTTGGACTGAAGCTTCCTTTTCCCATCAATATTTCTGCCTGGACATGGGCATTCTTCATTGTTCCAAGAACCTGTAGACTGTGTTCAAATTGGGATCATCTGTCCCCAAGTTTAATCTGATGACCACTGTTCACTAAAATGTTTTGAAAGGTGCTATATAATGTCTTATTCTAAAACCTCCTCAAACTAGGCCAATCAAATTACCACCAACTTTAATCAGTTTATTGGTATTTCCCTTAACTTAGAGCAGTATTGGCCAAGGTGAAGGTCATTGAGACATCATAAATAAAGATTCTGGTTATTACTCTAAGGGTCTTCTTTGTTATGAAAAGCTAGCATACTAGCAACGGGTTCACAGTTCAAGGCAATGTGAATTGGAATTTATCTAAAACCGTGAATCTTTAAATCAAATTGCTCTAAATTAGGAACTATTTACTGCTAAATAAAATAGCTCTAAAATAGTCCCTTAGCCATTTCACAAGTGAGAGATTTTCTCCTCTTCCTTTTCTTCCTCCTCTGGCTTCTCTCTTTTCCTCCTTCCCTCCTTTCTTCCCTCCTTTTTTCCTCCTCCCCCCCTCCCTTCACTCTTTCCCTCCACCTTTTCCTCCTTCCCTTCTTCCCTCCCTCCTTTTTTTCCTCCTTTTCTCCCCCCCTCCCCCACATCTATATACCCATGTAATCTTTCCTACTCTTTTCTTGGCCCTTCCCTCATCCCCAGCAATTTAGCTATTTTATGAGTTTGTTTCATGTTCTCAGGATCCCCATGCTTTAAATAGTTAATCAAACTATCCTCAAACAGAGGTGGTTCCCTTTCTCAGAGAATCCTGGAGCCAGCTGTTAAAGTTATACAGTTTTATCCCTGATACATTATATTTAGTCAAGAGACTGAAAAGAATGAGGTGATTTTTCAAGTTGTTTTTTTACCCTAATTCAGAAATATAATAATTAACACCCATCATTTAATATCATCTAATTTTAACACATGACTCTCCTCTATGACCTCTAAGTAGATTTAGGTATGAAATCTCCACTAAATGTCTTGAAAATTATTTGGATTTTTAACCATATGTAGAAACTCTGAAACTTTTTTTAAACAGTCAAATGTTGCATTCAATAAATGATTAAACTATGTTTTCAAAGTGGAAGAAAGTTTAAAAACTAAGAACCTGTACGAGTGCCACTTTTTATAAGGAACATGAGAAAGAAGGTTCAGTCTTGCCTTTATTCAAAAGACCTTCCACACAAGTGCTATGTGTTGATATAGATGGCCTAGTTGAAGAATGTCAGTTTATAGTTTCAGGAAGAAAATGAAAATAAATTCTAGTTCAAAATTACTTCTTAGGAAACAGGCTGCTGCTGCCACCTGGGGGAGGCTCTTCCTACTTCATTCAAGAAAAGCCAAATGTGCTTGTCAGATGAATGAATCCAGTTCACGTTTTCCTTGTCGTATTCACACAGGAAGAAGACTTTAACTTTCTGCCCATGAAATCATAAGGTGTTCCAGATGCCCCTGTGATTCCTCCATGCAGAAATACATATTTCACAGACTGTTTGAGGAGTACAGGAGAAGCTGAACCAGAGGTTTTGAAGGTTTTACCTCTTAAACACATGAAAGTATCTTGAGAAAGTATGGGTTACATACTAAGAAGTGGGAAAATATAATGTAAGCTTTCAGTAATGAAATAAAAGCCCTGTTTAAATAAAAATTTATCTGGCTTCAAGTTATAGTAAATTATACTCACTGACTATCATTAATTGATATGAAAACAGCACATGCTAATATAATCATGCTAGCAACTGTATCAATTAGAATAAAAGAATAAATTTCAATTACATGGAACTAGCCAAGAGAGTTTCCTTAAAGAATTTTTGAATTTATAAACTTAATACTGTTCTGAAGTCAGTACCTATTTATTTCACATATATTACATATCAATTTATTGAAATGTTCATAAAGTAATGGTATTCATTAAATACAATGAGAAACATATAACTTTATTTGAATGTCTAGTTTCTGTCTAGACATTTTGTTTCTAATGTCTAGTTTGTGTTAAACAGAAATTAGACATTGCATTACTTTAGGTGATAGAAAAAATGTTCATATTAACAAAGTCCTAAAACAAAGAATTTAATCCTAGCTATAGAAGTTTCAGGAAGTACCTATTGAGATTACAGATCTGTCAGGTGACATGAAAAACTCAGTGCTGACTAAAAACAATTAATCATTTATAGAGAGGATCCTAGTAACAGATTAACTAAATAAATTGCATACAGTATCAGTCCCAGAGTGGTACAATAATAATGTTAAAAGTCTAAAGTTCATACCAAAGAATGCCTGTACCAGCTCAAGAGAAGTCTTTGTGGAAAAAGCATTTTTAAAATTGGAAAAGGTACGTGACATACAGCAAATGGATTGGGATTTCATAAATATTATTTTTAAAATCACACATCTAATTCAGGATTAAAAATATAATCTGAGTGATTAAATTCCAGCCAACAGAGCTGAATGATCTTGGTGAGCTGGGGTCACTTTGAGGGACCCCAAAAAGGAGTGTTTTTGTATGGAGATGTGAGGTTCCTTCAAGGTGTTAATGTTAGGGTCTGGGTAGACTGGGGTGAGGGGCATTAGAGGACAAGAAAGACTTTCTATGTATATAACACAGAAACTGTATAATAAAAATAAAATTTATAAGCAAAAATAATAAATATGCAATTTAAAATGTCTATTTCTGAATTGGTAGTTGATAGCACTTTCGGTATTTGGCCAGTAGCACTGCCTCATTGATCTAATGAAAACAGAAGCCCCTGTAATGCTATCAGGGGCTTCTGTTCTGCCTAAAAGAGAAACTACAATTTAGGGGAGCTGTAAATGGAATAGAATCTCCCAAAGTTCTCCTTCCTCCTAACTGAACTGCACAATCTGTTGGACTTTACTTTCTTCCTATTTTTTAATATATTTGTATTTATTTCAGAGAGGAATGGAGAGATAGAAACATCAATGATGAGAGAGAATTATTTATCAGCTGCCTCCTGAATGCCCTTTTATTGGCAATCAAGTCTCCAACCCAGGCATGTGCCCTGACCTGGAATTGAACTGTGATCTCCTGGTTCATAGGTCAGGGCTCAACCATCGAGCCACACTATCAGGGTTGGACTTTACTTGAAGTTTTCTTTAACATTACTCATGTTTCATAGAAAAGAAGTAGTCAGGAAGTTCGGAAAGATGATTTCTTGCAGATGCCACTTGTGTATTCAAGCAGGGGAATGGTGGGGGGCATTTTTTTAAATGCAATAAATGGGGTTTCTTCTACGGTTGTGTTTCTACTTCTCCCCCAAGAGTGAATAATTTTCAAATACTGCTGCTAGCTTGAACCTAGGAACTTCAGTACCCACTCCTAAACCAACTCACTTACCACATTGATGAGTTAATATGGTTTACATTATTATGTCATTTGGTTTGTGGGTGTGTTTTTTTCTTCTCGTTGTCCTGTAATTCTTGCTTCCTCTTCCCTTCCTTATCTATAGTTGACTTCTCTTTCCTCTCCTACTGCAAACTACTAATATTATTTCAATCTTCCCTCCTCACTGGGGTCTGTCCACTTTGGTGAATCACTCCTGCACCCTTTAGTCACTATGAATGAGGGGAAAGCAAATTAAAGGCAATGCCTGGAGTGCTCCAGAGCAGGTAAGAAGCTTTGCATGGGTGAACATAGAAGCCTACCTGCTTATGTTAAGCTTTTGGTTACTCACAGCCATGACGGACTCCAACAAGATGATCATCAACTTGGCCCTCTTTGGCATGACTCAGAGTGGAAAAAGTTCTGCTGGCAACATCCTTCTAGGAAGCACGGACTTCCACAGCAGCTTTGCTCCATGTTCTGTGACCAAAGAGTGTAGTCTGGGCCGCAGCTGTCACCTCCATGGCTTCATGCGTCGAGGGGGGCAAGAGATAACCCTGCAGGTCCGGGTGCTGGACACTCCAGGTTATCCGCACAGCAAGCTGAGCAAGAAGCATGTGAAACAGGAGATCAAGGAGGCCCTGGAACATCACTTTGGGCAAGAGGGTCTCCATCTTGCACTGCTAGTCCAGAGAGCAGACGTGCCTCTCTGCGGACAGGAGGCATCTCCCTCAGTCCAGATGATCCAGGTAATACATGGAGGCAATTATGCTAATGCCATCATTTCTGTTTGGAGGTCATCATCCTAATAGGAAAAAAAAAAACCTATAAAAACCCATTAAAAGAGACAGCTCTCTCCTCTTCCTCTCTCTCTCTCTCTCTCTCTCTCTCTCTCTCTCAAGCATGTCCCATGTCTTTCACCCCCTCCTTCCCTGAGGCACGTTTTCTTTGCCTTTCTTTTCCGTAAGCTCCAAGGGCCCTTCTCTTGCCTCTGTGACTCGTGCCCGGAGCCCACACAGCCCAGCTGGCTCACGTTTTCTACATCTGTGATTTTCTAAATAAACTTTCTCTTATAATTTGGAAAAAAAATGATTAAAAGAGTAGTTTAAAGTAAATACAAAACAAATAATTTAAAACAAGAACTGGAATTTAGTCAGTTATTTTACAAATGGGTCATTGGACAAAAAGAGAGATATTAAACTTTAGAGTATAACTAAGCTTTAGACCTCTACGAAATGTACACCTGAATAAGCTTGCAATGTGCCCCCCAGATTCTCTCCATCAGAATCAATGGGGCTCCTTGTTGAAAGTGCAGATTCATCCAAGCCCCTTTGAAACAGAATCTAAAAAGTGGAGCTTACATAATTGCACTTGCATAAACTTTCCATATATTGCTTTTTTTAAAATTTTTATTGTTGAGATTATTACAGATGCCCCTCTTTTTTTCTCCCATAGCTCCCTTCTACCCAGTTCCCACTCCACCCCAGGCCCTCGACACCCTATTGTCTGTGTCATTAGGTGATACATACATGCATATAAGATCTTTGTTTAATCTCTTCCTGCACCCCCCCCCCCCACTCCTTTCTTTCTGAGAATAGTCAGTCTGTTCCATTTCCAGGCTCCTGATTCTATTCCATTCACCAGTCTAGTCTGTTCATCAGATTTTTTATTCATTTTGATTTTTAGATTCATTTGTTGATAGATATGTATTTGTTGTCACTTTGTTGTTCATATTTTTTATCTTTACCTTTTTCTTCTTTTTCCTCTTCTTAAAGAATACACTTCAGCATTTCATATAATATAATATTCATTTGGTGGTAATGAACTCCTTTAGCTTTTTATTGTCTGTGAAGCTCTTTATCTGACCTTCAATTCCAAACAATAGCTTTGTTGGGTAGAATATTCTTGGTTGTAGGTTCTTGCTGTTCATCACTTTGAATATAATATTTCTTGCCACTTCCTTCTGGTCTGCATAGTTTCTGTTGAGAAATCAGCTGAGAGTCATATGGGCACTCCATTTTAGGTAACTGTTTTTCTCTTGCTGCTTTTAAGATTCTCTCTTTGTCTTTTGCCCTTGGGGTTTTAATTATGATGTGTCTTGGGTCCTCTTTGTATTCCTCTTGTTTGGGGTTCTCTGTACTTCCTGGTCTTGTAAGTCTATTTCTTTTATCAGGTAGGGGATTTTTTCTGTCATTATTCCTTCAAATAGGTTTTCAGTATCTTGCTTTCTCTCTTCTTCTGACACTCCATAATTTGGATGTTGGTACGATTGAAGTTGTCCCAAAGGCTCCTTACACTGTCTTTATATTTTTGGATTCTTTTTGCTTTTTGCTTTTCTGCTTGGGTGTTTTTGCTCCCTTGTATTTCAAATAATTGATTTGAGCCTAGGATCCTCTAATCTACTGTTGAATCTCTGAATATTACTCTTTATTTCAGTCAGTGTATGCTTAATTTCTGACTGGTCCTTCCTCCCCCCCACTTTTTTTTAAGTTCCTTGGAGGTTTCTAGAAGATTCTTGAGTAACCTTATAACTGTCGTTTTGAACTCTATATCCAGTAGTTTGCTTTCTTCCATTTGTGACATGTTTCTTTGTCTCCACATTTTGGCTGCTTCCCTGTGTTTCTTTCTATGTATTGGGTAGAGCTGCTAAGTCTCCTTGACTTGATAGAGTGGCCTCGTGTAGTAGGTGTCCTATAGGGCCCAGTGGCTCAGCCTCTCCAATCACCAGAGGTGGACACTCTTGGTGCACCCCTTTGTGGGCTGTGTGCACAGTTTTTGTTGTAGTTGAGCCTTGATTGCTGTTGGTGTCACTGGGAAGAATTGACCTCCAGGCCAATTGGCTGTGGGGACTAGCTGCAACTATAGTGGGAGAGCTGCTGTGCAGGAGACACCCTTATGGGGCAGGACTTGCTTCAGTGGGGCTTTGGTGCTCACTGAATCTGCCCCTTGAGTGTGTCACTTATGGATGTGAAGAGTTCTAATCCAGTATGGTCTCACACTGATCACTAGTAAACTGGCTCTTGGATCTCCAGGGAGGTGCAAGGTCAGCCACTGCCTGGGGCCACCCAGCAGGAGCTACAGAGAGATCTGAAGATTCGTCCTCTTTGTATTGAGTTTGGAAGTGCCCAGACAAGGCCCTACTGTGAAGCAAGACAGGCTGGTGCTTGTGCTGGTGCCATTTTGGGGGGGCTTTTATTAATAGGTTTGGAGCTCCCTGACCCAGCTGCAGTTTGTTTGACAATTTTTTATCCCAAGAAAGGACAGACCATTCATATGCAAAAGCTGCTGCCCACAGCTTGGGTAAGATTGTAAATTGGTAAAGCTCTCAAGGACTCACCAGGGCAGAGCAAATAGAAATGGCTGCCAGTCAGCCCTGCATGAGGATGTCCCAGCACTGGAATAATGACCACTCCAAGCACCTCCATCTGGAAGAAAGCCACCCCCGTGTTCCTGCTCAGATGCCAGAGAGTCCAGTTTCTTTCTGTATAGAAAGAACTACTGAACTAAAATACTAAGGTGCATCCATGTAACATCAAGGAGACTAGCAGTTAGAGTTCACCAACAAATTGGTATTCATTCATTGAACACTATTAATAATTGCATAGAGCATAATGATTGGTGAATAATATATGAGCCTTTCCATCAAAAAAGCTTAGAATCTGGAAGAAACAAATAAATAAACAAGTATAAGGCAATGCATTAAGTGCCAAAGTAGTGTAATGTATGACTAGGAGGAAAGAAGACTCCACTGAGACTTACATCATGGTAAACATTCAGAAGAGATCTATACTCTAGTTATGGGACAGAAATCAGGAAATTTAGATACTTTGCTTGCCTCACAATCTGTAGAGTGTCAGAAACTGCTCCATTCCAGCCTTAAAAAGACCAAGGGGACCTCAGGGTATACATGAATGACATCTGTCACATTTGTGGTCCTTGTTTGTTTGTTTATTGTAAGTCACTAAGGTGGAGGTTTAGCCAGGCTAGGAAAGGAGCTGGGGTGAGGGGAGAATATCTGTGTATGGCCACAGCTAGAAGATGGAGGAAGTATGGAGGAAGTAATACCTGCATACACTATACACACACACACACACTAGAGGCCCGATGCACAAAATTCATGTAAGAGGTTTGGCCCTTGCAGCCATGGCTTCGTCCAGAATGTTGTCCAGTCTAATTAGCATAATACACTTTTATTATTATAGTTATGTGCAAGTCTTAGGTACAATCAACAATTCCTGGAAACTGCTCATTGAACTGCTCCATTCTATTCAATTTATTGATTCTCTGATCTGAGACCACCCAAATTTTACTGCTGAACTTGACTAGAATTACTCAGTAGCTTTGTGAAGTCACTAAGCTTGGAGAGCTCATCTCTACTGGAAGCTCCACAGGTAAAGTACACAGAGAATAGAGAACAGACATTTTTTACTCAAGAAAAGTTTGTGTAAATGCTGCTCTTCTTTTGGTCCATCTCTGATCATGCTGATATAAGATCTGTTACACTTAGAGAGTACACTTTGCGTTAAAAAAAGATTTCCCCCCAGTAACTAGTAAAGGCATAAGATTGTTTTAAATCACAGACACACATTTTACTTTTTAGTAACTGTGCATGTTTCTAAAAAAAAATCCATATGTGTAATCACAAGAAACTAGTGGAAAAAATTAGGGTGACAAGAGAATAAAAAATAATCCTCATCATCCGACTTCTGAAAAATCAAGGACATGCTGCACAAAAGCAAATAAAAAGAGAAGATTATTGCAATTAAGAAACAATGTGGAATCTAAGAAAGCCAATTTACCTCTCCCAAACTATTAAAACCTGCATTTAAAGCATCATTTTCTGGTGAGAAATCAAGGGTGGGAGGGACCAGTGGCTTTCCATCAGTGTAATTTTTGAAGAGTTTTTTTTATAAAATGTGTTTTTATTGATTTTAGAGAAAGGAAGAGGGAGAGATAGAAACATGAATGATGAGAAAGAATTATTGATAGGCTGCCTCCTGCACATTCCCTGTTGGGGATCAAGCCCACAACTAGGGCATGTGCCCTGACCCAAATCAAACCATGACCTCCTGCTTCTTAGGTCAATATTCACCACTGAGCTGTACCAGCCAGGCTTGAAACAATTTTTAAAGTTCATTTAAAGCTGCTATTAAATAAGAATTTAGATTGAGCTATAGGTGGATATAATTTGATAAATGCACAAACAAATATTTCTCAAATCTAACCTGACTACATATGTCATCAAATTTTTCTTTATGCTAGTCTTATACTGAGCCACAAGAGGTATTTAAAAGACATACATTTTTAAAATAGATTTATTTTCCCGTTTTGATATATAGAAGAATTTTACAATCCCCTAAATTTTTTATAGAAGTAAATTAGATTCATATAATACTTGTCTCTGATCTTTTTAAGTGGTATCTGGCATACGGCCTTCTCTTATGGCTGCCTTCCTTAAGTTAGTGTCCAGTTAGGAGTTGAAGATGGGCTAGGGCCAAACTCAGGTCCATAATAATTTTTTCGAGAAGATACACATTCTCTCCCAGGAAAACTCTGCATTCAAGACTTGGTATCCAATCCCAGGGGTTTCCCCGCTTTGCTTTCTCCGGCCTCTCTAGTCTATCACCAATGGATTTCATGTAACTCACCTATGTCTCTTACTTTGATTGTAATGTATAAATACAGGTGTAACCCACCATTCTCTGGAGCATTATCTCAATTCATTAAGGTTCTGCTTCTCGGCATATGT